AGGATGCAATTTGACCCATAGATTCGGCTATCTCAGATAGACCTAACGCTAAAGTGGCAAACAAAATAGAAATAGTGAGATACCACACCTATGTTGTTTCGTAGGTCATAGAGCATAGAATCTCATTACCTCTTAGGTTAGAATGAGTGGTAACACTTCTAGCTCTTTGCCATGTCACTTTTTGAGTGTTATATAATTTTTTTTGTCTCAACACCTAATTCTTAGCATTTTATAGGGAGTGGTAACACTCCTAGCATTTCATTTTTTTTTATTTTCTTTTTCAAATTTAATTAAATTATATTTTTTTTAATACACAAACATTTAATATTACAAAAATTCTATTTTTTTTAATACAAGCACTTAATATTTAAATAAAAAAGATTACACTAATTTAAAACATAATCTAAATAAAAAAGTTTTTGTTTTTGGACAAAAAATACCAAGTTGCTTAAACTTTGGGACAAAAAAATACCAAGTTATGGAAACTTTGGGGACCAAATATGTAAATTCTTTATCTTCTTCCCCAATTTTTTGTTAACGCAAAACGAAGTTTTAGCAACAAAAATCAAAGCTTCGACACCTCCCATCTGCCAAAAACGGAGGAATTTTTTTTATGAATTTGTCAAATGTGGAATAGAATCCGGTCAGAAGCACCAATCGTTGCAAGCTAAATTCTCTCTCTCCTCTCGCTATACTCTTAGCGACTCACCGGTAACGAGCTCCCTAACGTGCGTTAGGGAGCGGTGTGCAACGCGCTTAGCGGGCTCCTGGCGAGCGCTCGTAACGGCCGACTCCCTTTAACGTCATGCCATACCCATCATTTGATCATACTTTCCCTTTTCACATAGAAAATGATCACTTCTAACCCACATCTATTAAATATATTATAGGCATTTATATTTATGAGAGAGAGAGAGAGGTATGGTGCATATAAAAATGACAATGTAGTGGCTTTTAAGGGGAGGGGGTGTTTACCACGGTCCACCGTAGGGATGTGCTTCCGATCCTACCCGAAACCCGAATTGGATGAAAAATGGGAAACCGAAACCCGGACCGATTATACTAATGCGGGACCGGTTCGGTTCGGGTAATATGGGTTTCAGTTCAGTTATTAACCCGAAAGGACCGAAATAACCCAAATAAACATTTACACTATACTTTTGAACCGAATAACTAAAATAAAACGAAATGACGCAAATAACCCAAATAAACTGAAATGGCCCGAATAACCTCAATAAGGAAATTCTATATACTAGATTAGAAATGAAATGATCTATATTAGTTTGATGATATTTTATTTTTTTTCTTGAACTAGATATAGAATTTCCTTATTTGGGTTATTCAGACCATTTCGGTTTATTTGAGTTATTCGGTTTATTTGAGTTATTCGGTTCAAGTGACTATTCGTTTTCCGGGTCGGTCTTTTTGGCCTGATAAAACATTTATTTGGGTAACCCGAAATCCAAATTGGACAAAAATAGATACCCAAGAACCGACCTAAATAACTTATTCGGTCGTTTTATGCACACACAAATGCATGAAGTGTCCATAGACAAAAGCCTTCCACATTGAAAAAATTTTATGAATATTTTTCTAGTTGTACATTTTTGTACTTATGCTCCTTTAGTTTACAGACTCATTTTTTTAGTTATTTCAGTGGATTGGTTTTATTCTTGTTTCAAAGCTAATTATAAATACTTATGCTATTTTATCCTAAAGATTCAAGGTTTTTAGTGTTTATATATATATATATATATATATATAATATTATATATATATATATATATATATCGATTTACGTTGACAAGAAAGGCTATGGTGATCATCGGTTCTTTTTCGGAGGATGTTAACTGACAATGGTTGCTTATAAGTAAAAAATTATAGACTGCAAGCGGCCCACGTTAATCCATCTTAAAACGCATAAGTAACGGACAATAGTTGGTTATAAATAAAAGATAGAAAGAACGGTTTTATTTTATTTAAAGAAGTTGCAAAACAAAAGAAGGTAATTTTATAATATGAACAAGATAGGAGTTTCATGATCATTTTAAAGTATTTGATAGATGCGCCAATAAGTTAAACGGGTCTCTAAAACATAAAAATTCTTATAAAAAATATATTAAATTAAAGTATTGAAGATATGTATTATATCCATATATCCAACTGAATTATTTTTGTAGTTTAGTCTAAATATTTTTTATTTCACTTCATATTACGGCCGTACAAGTACAAAAGTGATGAATTATTTTTGTAGTTGAAAAACTAATTAACCGATAAAAATAACATTTTGTAAAATCTACCTCATAAACTAAGATGCAAAATGTAACATAAAAGGAATGTAGAAGAAAGATTCATTGTTATAAGAAAAATATGAATACAATTCATTAAATTAAAGTAAGTCTTAAATAACACTCTAGCATTCTATATCATATTCGAGATATTATCACGAATTTCTAGCATCCTGCGATGTGACTCTAGATGTTATTATGACTAACTCTTGAATGATTGTGTAATTTTTAAATGAACAGTGGATACAAATTCGAAGAGAAAAATATATACCGTTAAAAACCTTTTTTTACATTCTTTTGAAGCAAATGTTCAAATTATGATCGACGACATCTTTTTTTTTGAAACAGCAAATTTAATCTACTCCTAAATTACACCATAAATCAACATTTGTCCACGACGGGACTTGAACCCTCAACCTCAAGTAGAGATGGCAACACCGGATACCGCTAGGCTACAAGCCCTTTGGTGATCGACGACATCTAATATGTAGATGTGGCGCCATAGGGGTGTAAACGAGCCGAGCCGAGCCCGAGCCTAACCAAGCTCGAGCTCGGCTCGTTTAATTTTGAAGAAGCTCGAGCTCGAGCTCGAGCTCGATTCGAGCCTTAAAATGAAGCTCGAGCTCGGCTCGTGAACAATTTAGTGAGCTCACGAGCTTAAACGAGCCTATATATATATATATATATTATATATATATATATATATATATATAATAATAGAGAGAGAGAGAGAGAGAAGAGAGAGACACAACCACACCACACAACCACATATATATATATATATATATATAATATATATATATATATATATATATTATATATATGCTCGTTTAGGCTCATTTAAGCTCGCGAGCCCACTAACTGAAGCTCGGCTCGGGCTCGTTTAATAAACGAGCCTCATATTTAGGCTCGAGCTCGACTCGGACTCGTTTAATTCGATCTCGAGTCGAGCTTTTAACGAGTCGATCCCGAGTAGCTCGGCTCACTTACACCACTATGACACCATATATCTTTTTGCGGCCAGAGTAACCTTGGCATTTATCATTAGAAAAAAGCTAATTACACACCTTTAAATTTACTGCAAATTCTATATTTTTGTTCCATCCTTCAAATAGGACCTGAACCTTTTCAACCAATCGCATGAATGACATCTTACCAACACTCCTAATTTTGTTAGAGGTCACATGCCAATTTGATGTTAGTCAATACCAAATTAAGTACAAGTCTTAATTTTAAAATGTTCAAAATTTGATTTGCATAAGTCAATCGCTTATATACTCTATTCAATAGAAATAACTTTAAAATAATTATTTTTAAACTCTGTCAATAGCATTTTTTTTGTTCGTTGGGTCATAGGTACTCGTGCAATGTCGTCATAGATCTTTCAACTATGACACACAAGTTTTTTGCAATGATCTCTACGTCAATATAATACAACATTCATTCAAAAGCAATCTTCACTAACACATCCACAATTAGATTATATTTTTTTAACAAATATATTATTTATTTATCATTATTAATTATTTAATAATCTATATAATTATTTATATTTTAAATTAAAATAAGTATTTAAAAATATGATGTTTATATAGTAATAAATTTTTAATTTAAATTACTATAAAGTTAAATAATTTATATATTACAAAACATATTATTTATAAGCTGCCAAAACCTCCCCTACAAAGATAAGTGAGTTTTAACTCTTTTAACTTGTAGGAAAATGACTAAGGTGTAATGATGTATTAAAATTTTAAAAAATTATATATAGACAAAATTACAAAAATGGTCCCTATGGTTTACCAAAAGTAACAAACTTAGTCCCTAAGTATTTTTTTTGATGTGTTTGCCCCTTGTGGTTTGTAAAAGTTACATTGGAGGTCCTTTTTCATAACTCCGTCAGTTTGTAGCCGTTTGGGGTCATTAATGTGGGGGTATATTCGTCTTTTTATGTTTGGCGCTCATTTAATATGGGATTAGGCAGTGATACGTCATTAACCTATCCTGTATTAACCATAGTCCAAGAAACCCCCCTTCATCTCCACTTCACCTTAGCTTACTGATCATCTTGACGATCTTCATCCTTCATCCCTCGCATCCGATTTTAGGGTTTATCAACTAAAAATGGTATTGTGTATGTGGAATTTACGTGGTCCTCATACGATTGCACCCGACCTTGATAAAGATTGTAGTAAGTTGTTTAATTTTTTGTTGGGTGTTTCTTGGTGTGTATATTCAAAGCTCATCGATTTTTCTTTTTCAGATGGTCACGACAATTTCTTCACTTTAAAGATACATCATGGTGGATTTTTTACAAAGTTTCTAGGAAGAAAGTACGTTGAGGGAAGGTTGGCATTCTTTGACTTTGTTGACACCGATCTTTTTTCAGTTCATGATCTAAATGACATGATTCGTGAGATAGGGTATTCTGCGGATGACACAATGTACTATCATTATAGAATTCCTAATCTAGACTTAGATTTTGGATTGAAGGCCCTAGGAAATGATCAAGACGTTATATCTATGGCTCAGTATGTCCCTCAAAACAGAGTGATTAATGTGTACGTTGAACATGGTTCTACAAGACTTCACACTTACTTCATGTCCCCGAGTAAAGTTGTTATTGAGCAATTGGATGATGATCCTTCTCCTGAACTTAATAGGATTAGGCGTAAGAAGAAGGGAATTGGTTCTTGTAGCAAGAAATTAGACATGAATGTCCCACTTAAAGAATCAGCTAATCAAGCACAAATAGAAAATGGTGTGTATGATTTTTCCATGTCCCTAGTTCCTTTTGAGCCAAACAAACAAGATGTGGTTAATGATTTTAAGGATGATTCGTATTTCCCTGTACCAAAAGAAACTGATATAATGCAAGATATTACAGTTGATATTAATTGCCAGGATCATAGGGAAATATTAGATGATTTTGAGCCTTTTAATAGTGATGGATATCAGAATATGGGTGACTTTGAAAGAGAGGTTGAAGTTGAAAAAGAACAGGATGAAGAAGACGAACAAGGGCATGCAGAAGATTCAAAAGATGATTCAGAAGAGCATACAGAAGAAGAGGATGATTCTGACTACATTGTTGACCCAGAAGCTATTTTAGATGACTGGGAGGTTGATATGAGAGAGTTTACCAGTTGTGTGGATGAGGTTGAATGGTTTGGACAAGGACCAAACATAGAATTAGAATTAAACCAAGATGATGATTTATGTGTGATCAAAAATGATGAGTTTGAAGATGCAGGATATGAGGAAGACCTAAGGAAGAGAATGTTAAAAAACTTGAACAAGAAGGTGCCTTGTTCTTCTGGGGTAGTTCATGTTACACCATTTTTTGTGGGTCAAGCTTTCAAAACCAAAAAAGATATACAGGGCCACATAAAGATGCTTTTATAAAAACAAGGAGGGCCCTACACATGGCCAAAAATGAAAAACTGAGAGTTAGAGTAAAGTGTAAAGGGGTGGTTCCAGATTCCACTGATGGTGGGCCCTCCACTGTAAGTAAAGTCACATCGAAGGGCAAAACAGTCATTTCACAAAAAGATTCTTGTCCTTTTGCTATTCAGATATCTAGATCTACGGAAGAAGAACAATGGTTGGTGAAGACAGTTATTGATGAGCATTTATGTTTACAAAGTAGAAAAGTGAAGGCATGTACATATAGATACCTGGCAAGCACTATTCTTCAAAAAGTGGATTCCAACCCTCGTATCCCAGTAACAACGTTACAGGAGGAGCTTCAAATGGATTTGGAATTAAGCATATCAAGAATGAAGATGTTCAGGGCTAAATAAATTGCAAAGGAACAACTGTATGGTGACTACGAAAGGCAATACAATTTGCTGAGAGATTATTGTTTGAAGTTACAAACCAACAACCCAGGTACAACAGTGAAGCTGGAAGTGTGTAATGAACCAAATCCTGATGTTCAAACTCGTATTTTCAAGAGGATTTACATTTGTCTTGGAGCACTTAAGTTGGGGTTCAAATATGGAAAAAGGGAATTACTGGGATTGGATGGATGTTTCTTGAAAGGACCATACCCAGGACAAATTCTAACAGCTGTGGGTCTTGATTCCAACAATGGAATATATCCACTAGCTTATGCAGTTGTGGAAGCTGAGACAACAAGTTCATGGACATGGTTTTTGGAATGCCTTGGTGGTGATTTGGATTTGGATGCATCATGCAACTTCACTTTTGTATCTGACAGACAAAAGGTATGAATACATATAACATAAGTCTCTTTTAAAAGTTGTAACAATACTAACTATTAATTACATTATATGTAGGGAATAATACCTGCAATAGCAAAAGTGTTTCCAAATGCAGAGCATAGATGGTGTTTGAGACATATACATGAAAACATGAAGCTACAATGGAGGGGAGAAGAGTTTAGAGATCATTTGTGGATGTGTGCTACAAATACAACCATTAGGCATTTTGAAAGGGCAATGAATGAGTTCAAAGATTTCAGTGAGGAGGCTCATGAATGGCTAAGTAAGATTCCTCCAGTCCATTGGGCTAGGTCTCATTTTTCAGGTAGAGCACATTCAGATTGTCTGCTAAACAATCTGTGTGAAGTATTCAACTCTAAGCTAGAGCATGGCAGGGACAAGCCTATTATTACCTGTTTAGAGTACATTAGAGTGTACTTGATGAAGAGACATTGCATTGTACAAAAGGAAATTGATAAATGCAAAAGTATCTTAACCCCTACAGCAACTACTATACTTGACACAATCAAAATAGTTGCAAGCAAATACAGGGCACTCTTCTGTGGTGATAGAAAATATTAAGTGACTGGTATGATGTTTGATCAGTATGTAGTAAACTTGAAAGAGGGGACATGCAGTTGTAGGTATTGGGAGATAACAGGGATAGTCTGCAGGCATGGAGTTTGTGCAATATGGGAACATATTCAAAATGGTGAAAAAGCCCAAACCTGAATATTAGGTGCATCCCTGTTATAAGTTAGAAACTTGGATGGCAATGTACTGTAACAAAATAGATCCAATCAATGGAAGGAGCATGTGGCCAAAATCTAGATGTCCAACCACTCTTATACCCCCTACACATCATACACAAGTAAGTTGAATATTACTTAACATATTTTCTTATTCATCCTGTTTTATGATTTCCTTAATATTTTTGTAGGTTGGAAGGCCCAAGAAAAAGAGGAAGAGGGCTATAGATGAGCCTACTAACCAGTCAACAAACCTATCAAGGAAATTCTTGACTGTTACTTGTTCCAAGTGTCATAACAAAGGACATAACTCTAGAACATGTAAGAGGCAAGGGGGGTCAAGTCAAAGAGCAGTGAGTGGCTCAAGTCAAGGTGGTGTGGGTGGATCAAGTCAAGGTGGTGTGGGTCGATCAAGTAAAGATGCAGTTGGTGTAACAAGTCAAGGTTCAGTGGGTGGATCAAGTGAAGTTGTAGTGGATGGGTTAAGAGCAAAGAAGAGGGACAAGGGAAAAAAGCCTCAAGTGCAGAAAGTAGGACCTAAATGAAGTTGGATCATCAAGTGAAGCATGACTAATCAAGTGATTTGGCTACCTTTTGTTTAAGATTATAAACTTGTAATGATGCTTTTGTTCAAACATGTTTAATCTAGATAATTACATCTTTTGCAACTACCTAAATTAGTGATGTAATTAAGTTGATACTAGCCATATGTCATGCTACATTTGTGTTTGTAATGATCAATATGGTGAACATTTCCAATTACTTTTCATGTTTTGATCTTGTGTGTTTCTCATTCCATTCCATTGTTTGACAAATGACCAAAACTCATTCCATTCCATTGTTTGTTAAATGAATGACCAAAACTCATTCCATTCCATTGTTTACTTATAATGATTTGATCTTGTTTTTTTACTCATTCCATTCAAATGTTTGTTAAATAGACAAAACTCTTTCCATTCCATGCCAACATTCCTGATCAATAACACAAAAACAATGTTTTCTAATTATCATAATACAAAATACCATTAAACTGATTAACCAAAACCATACATTACATTAAGATTCTAATACATGACATCTAATCCCAAAATCAACTGGTTATATCCCATTCCAGTTCTATACACCCATCCGACATTACATATCAAAAATACATCCCAAAATACACCCCAAAATACACTGACCAAATACATCCCCAAATCCAACTCCTACTTAGTGCATACATATATAAACGAAAAAAAACCAAGATAGAAGAAGCATCCACTTCAGCTTCACAACATCTGCACGAGCTTGACTCAACATCATTTGAACATTGTTCAGCTTCCTTAGCAAGCCAGGAATCACCTCCACAGCTCTATGGCACATCAGATCATCCACCCACCCAAGAAATGGACAGCTTCGACCATTTCTAGCACAAGACCAGAATCGCCTACCTGGGTTGAGGTCCGTCCAAGATGTGACTCTCACAGCAACACTTCCACACGTACATATCACCATTCTTGGTAGAGAGGAGAGCTTCGATTTTTCAGAGATGGTTGCTTGATTTTTCTGAACATTGGCTAGAGCATTTTAAAGGGGGTGGAGAAGCAAATGCAAAAATACCAAAATACCCCCATATTTTTTGAACTTAATGACCCCAAACGGCTACAAACTGACGGAGTTATGAAAAAGGACCTCCAATGCAACTTTTACAAACCACAAGGGGCAAACACATCAAAAAAATACTTAGGGACTAAGTTTGTTACTTTTGGCAAACCACAGGGACCATTTTTGTAATTTTGTCTTATATATATAATATATATATATATATATATATATATATATATATATATATATATATATATATATACTAATCGTTTACCCGCGCAAAGCGGCGGGTAGCGAATAGTTTTTTTCGGCACTTTTTTTTTCGGCGGGCAATGTTTAGTTTCTTGCCATTTCACATTTCAAAGGCTAAATGCTACTAATTAAAAGTACATTGATAAAAAATAATATGAACTCCAGATTAAGAAAGCTTGATATTTTTAACTAAGAGTACATTGATAAAAAAAATAGCATATTGCCATTTCCCATTCCAAATGGCTAAATGCTACTAACTAAAAATACAATGCCAAAAAAAAGTATATTTCCATTTCCCATATATTTAACAGATTTTTATTTATTTTATAGATTTATTGTTTATATACTTTATTGAGTTATACATTTAGCAGCATTTTTATCAAAATTATAAAAGCATATACTCTCGCATCAAGTAGGAATTACTGTTTTGACCGAAAAACAAAACCGAAAACTGATTAGGATTGAATAAAGTATCGGGTTCGGATCCTGGTTTTGTAAATTGGGATTATTCTGTTATCGGGTATTTCGGTCCAGTTCTTAGAGTTTTGAGCTTAATCTGCTTTCTGGTTTCTATGACTGAACAACACAATAAAATTAAATAAAAATAAAACTTGTGTAGTCGACAAAAAAAAATCCTTTATGTAATATTATATATAGTTAATAAATAGCAATATATCATATGTTAAGACAGCCAACGATGAAGTGACAGATGCCACAATGACATCATTGAAAGTGGGTTGTGTGGAGTTTCCAATCCACTGTGAGTATTTTATAGAGACAATATTTTTGAATGAGTCTATAACATTATCTTTACTAAGTAACGCTCTGCTTATAAAAATATCAAATATCCACTGGGTTTAAAAAAGAGTACCAAACAGCCCAAGAATACATACTATTTTACTAAAAAAATCCAATTTTTCTTGTTCTTTTCAGTTCCAAAGCAAAGTGTATATGTTTTCTGGTCCTTTCTTGTTAATACCAGGACCGGTAATACCCAAACCAGTTGCATAATTGTATAATCGGACCAGTTTTTGGTTCCTATTTTTGTTCAAATTTGGTATTTGGTTCTTCCTGTTTGGGTCGGTTCCAAACCGAATAATATCTCTAACATCAAAGGTGAGTTGGTTCCAATATACCCCGAAATCAAGGTTATAAATTCGTAAAACTGAAAACTAAATTAAAATAGAAATTAAAATCAGAAGATATTAAATAGATTACAGAATAAAGATATCCAAAAGCTCTTTTAGGATTGTTTAAAGCAGCACAAAAAGCATGTTTTCTTCCAAGTATTCCAAAATTTGACCTTTTTACCCCTGCTTGGCTATTCTGGTGTGATGTTTTGGTATCCTTGTTTAAAGTTTTCTTCAAATGGATGTTTTTTGTTTAATACATATTCTTTGCCCTTTAAAAAAAAAAACTGTCCTTTCCCCACTTCTTACACATGTATTAAAAAAGATGTTGAACCGTACCCTTCAATTTACTTGCAGATATCAACTTTGATGTTGCTTCATCATATACATGCTCCAACCTATATCAACAATAAAACTTAAGATTAAAAGTAACACTCTACTCATACTTTTGCATGGCACAATGTAAATCACAATGGCACCTCTTCATAAAAACTACTCTAATATCTTCTTCTAATTCTCACCTTCCATTGATGTTCTTCCAACTTTATCCTACAAGAAAAAGAAAACTTTAAGTTACCGATTCCACTTTATCCAACATCAAAACAAATTTGGGAATGGAAATGTAGCAAAAAAAAAACAGACACGGTAGATCCAAATCAATGTAAAACAATGTTCAATAAATGTGAACTTCTCAACTTCATATAAATGCAACAATGCTCAAAGAGTGGACGATGTGTGTAAGGGTGGGTGAGGTTCTTTCTCATAAGAGTAAGAATCAACGACGATCTCGGTACCAGAAAATATTATTAATAAAAGTAAAACGTTAACAATTGCTAATCATACCTTCTTCTATTTCAACTTTTCCTCAGCTTTCATCTTCGTGTTTCCCATTTCCCTTGTCAAAGATCTCAACTTGTAAGCAAATTAATAGTGAAAAAAATGAGATTTCCATCGGTAAACAATCATTAAAAACGATTTACAACCAACTTAATAGTGAAAAAATGTATTTTGAATCAATCAAAAGAGGAAGACGATAATTTAATACTTGAATGCATTTAACAATGGGCAAGTAGAAGCACTTTAACTGTTATTTAAACTGAAGTTGGTGGCTACCTGGAGGAAGTACCCTGAATTTAACCACCAATTCGAATATAATAGATATATTTTAACCACAATTAAAGAAAAATATAAGTAGTTGCATTTCTTCAATATGCTCAATATAATCAGACACCAAAATCAAATTTTCTGCTCAAGTTTGACAGGAAGTACCCTGACTTGATTGGGTTAGGTCAAGCAGCTATTGAACATAATCCCAGTAGTTCCCCCATTGCAAAAAGTCATCTAAAAGTGTCCGGTGATACTTGTTGCCGGTGAAATTTGTTTCCCTCCAAATCCAAACCAGAAAGATGTTTGAAAGAAAGCCTAAACCTGCAATTTGAATCAAAGCATTTGAATCGTTCAAATCCATACTCAATCAAAATAAAACCTTGAAAAATAAAAAACTAAAAAGAAACTTGAAATCGACAATAAGACAGTTATATATATATATATATATAATATATATATATATATATATATATATATATATATATTATAGAGAGAGAGAGAGAGAGAGAGAGTTCAAATGTTTCTCGCATCTATTGTGTGCTAGAATGCACCAATAAGAATTTAGTATTAATTATATGTATATTAAATGCTATCCATACTTATAACTCATTTTTATGGAAACTAATTAAATTCGTCATTAATGTCAACAAAAATATTCTTTCAGAATAAATTCATATTTAGAAGAATGAGAGTGTATTCTAGTAGAACACACTCTCGTTCTTCATATTCAATGCAACTTTATTGTGTTTTAAGTGAGTGAGTCCTGAAACAAAATACGAACTCATATATAAAAGCCTAGATGCGAATTCATTCTGAAAGAATGTTATTGCTGACATTAATGACAGATTTAATTAGTTTCCATAAAAAGAGAATTATAATTATGGATATCATTTAATATTCATATAATTATGGAAATCATTTAATATCTATATTTATTTAATTAAATAATTATTTAATTTACTAAATTCCTATTGGTGCATTCTAGCACACAATAAATATAAGAAACAAAATAATCTAGCCCTATATATATATATATATATATATATATATATATATATATATATATATATATATATATACACTAGGTTATAACCCGTGTGCTACACGATATATAATAAAGCAAAATAAAAAAATAAAAATACAATTGGAAACAAAAATTCTTATGGAATAATTGATGTATATTGGTAAGTTTAGGATCGTTATGAAAAATAATATTTAAAACGGTTAGAAAATTTAAATAATCTTATTTAATTCATGATTAACGAGAAAAGTACAATGCTATTTGGATACAACATAAAATCAAAAAGTGCAATTATATATTGCTATTTGTGAAAATTTAAACAAAAAGTATAATGCTAGTTAGATAAATAGAAGTCTAGAAAATATAATGCGTAAATTTGATAACATTTAAAAAGAAAATACATTTCGACATCGCTATTTATATAAGTAAAGCCATTGAAACTAAAATAATA